CCCACCCACCCATCCACTCACTCTCTCAAAAAGCCTGTGCTAGCTTTTATCATACTAGTGCTGGGGATGAGAGAAATAAATGGGACATGATTTCTGGCCTCAGAACCAAACTCCTGATCTTCTTCCCTCAAGGGACTCCCCTCTCAGCCTCACCCGTCTCAGTTGATGACAACTCCATCCTCTTTGGGCTTAAGCCAAACCTCATACCCAACTGGTCAAAGCATCTGTCATTTTGCTCTGATTCAAACTAGATCCAGGCTCTGACCACTTATCACCCTTTCTGTCCCTGCCACCACCCTGGCTCATGTGCATCGTGGCAGTGGCCCAACAGGGCTCCCTGGTTCTATCACTGTGGTCACCCAGGGGTCTCACCTCTAAGCCACTGCTCTCCAGAATGGAAGGCCTGGTCTTTCTAAGGCTTTGCCATTATCTGGCCTCCCCCCCTTGCTTCTCATGCCCTCTCCTGAGCCTCTCATAATAGGCGTGCCCCCCACCCCCACCAATCTGTGCCCTGGCTGTTCCCCTGCCCAGAATGATCTCCCCTTAGAAATATACTCAGCTCACTCCCTCACCCCTTCAACATTTCATTCTAATGTCAGGGTCATGAGCGGCATGTTCAAATCTCCATCCTACCACTTCTTAGCTAGAGGGCCTGAGGAAGAGACCACTGCCTCTGTGTGCCTCCCTCCTCACCTGTAGAAAGGCCCACGAGCTCCTCTGTGTTCCTCGCTCCTCATCGGTGAACATGTCCCTGAGAACCTTTGCCTTGGGGGCTGCTGTGAGAGGTCATGAGACTGACGCAAGGCACCCTGTGGTTCTGCATTGGGCTGTGTTCTGCATGGTTGGCAGTTTGAAACCACTAGCAGCTCCTGGGGAGACAGGCTGGGCTTTCTACTCCCCTAAACAGCTCTAATCTCGGAAACCCACAGGGGATCGCTATGAGTCGGCATGGGCACGATGGCAGGGAGTTTGATTGTGGACGCCTGACAAACTCTGAGGTGTGGTACTGGTTTGGAAGAGGTTAAGTGGAGACTTTGCCTCCTAGCCAGGAGCCTAGCGAATCAGGGTGGCAGGGGAGGGGCCAGGCTGCCTGCCCCTGGGAAAGGGATCCTGGCTGGCCAAATGCAGCCCGAAGAGGGAGCGGAGAAGACGCTGTCGGGACTGAGGGCTTCCGGCAGGGACCGGACCGGAGCGCTGGCCCCTGCACCGGGATAGCACCAGGCTGGAGAGCAGAGCCAGCTGGGGGTGGGCAGAGAAGAGGCCATGCTGCCGGAGCAGGGAGGAAGCGGAGCCTGGACCCAGCGCCCTCCTGCTCCCCGCAGGCAGGGGCCACCGATGGTGCCAAGGCCCTGACCCCAGGTGGCCCTGATGGTCCACATGAGGTGTAGGGTCTAATTTTAGCTCTAGCCATAGGGCCTACCGCCTAGGAGCTGCTGCCAGCAGGCACAGGGTGGCCAGGACTGCTCTGGCAGGGTTGGACGGGGGAGATCAGCCTGCCTCCTTCCGGACCTACACCCTGGCCACACCACCCCCTGGAGAGCCCTCATGGGCCCCCTATGGTCTGGCCAACGGTCCTCCTGTGGGACAAGGGCAAAGTCAGGAGTGCGTGTAGCAAGGAGGGCAGAAAGCCACAGTCGTGTAGGTTGACCCAGAGTTGCATCAGCGGGAGCGGTGCCCAGGGGCAGAGGACCCTGCAGAGGGTGAGGGCAGAGGCCAACTGGACTGTCCAAAGGTCAGGGAAGCAGAGTGCTGACCATAGGAGGGCTAGGGCAAGAGGCTGGGTCCTACCTGGTCTCCTTCAGACTGGCTTCCATCTTCCCAGGGGTGCTGGACTGGGCTGACCCTGGCACCAGCCGCCTTCCTCAGGTTCTGCTCCTCCCGCTCGCCAGCTGAGGCCTCCTCTCGCCTTCCCAGCCCACCTGCGGTCAGCCACATGAAATCGTGGAGAAGAAAGTCCCTGTGGCTCGCTCTGTCTGCCTCCTGGCTCTTCCTCTTCCTCCTGGGGCTCCCCCCGCTTCTCCGCCCAGCAGTGCCCCCCAGACCTCTGCCTGGGGCCCCGGAAGGCTGGCCACACTGGCTGGATGCCGAACTTCTGCCAAGCTACTCCCAGCCTGGGGAGCTCCCTGAAGATGCTGCTCCACCTACCCGAGCCCCCTCTGGTGGTGGCTGCAACTGGGGAGCCTGCTTTGACCCTTCCCAGTGCCGGTGTGGTGGCCTCAAGGTATTTGTGTACCCCGCAGCTGGGCCCACCTCTGAGATTCATCACCAGATCCTGGCTTCCCTCCAGCGCTCCCGATACCACACATTCAGCCCTCGAGAGGCCTGCCTCCTCCTCTTCCTCAGCCCGGATGCCCCCACTGGAGCACCCATTCCGGTGCCTGCGCAGTGGGATGGGGGCAAGAACCACCTGGTTCTCAGTCTCCACCCAGCCCCCTGTCCCAAGACCTTCCAGCTGGGACAGGCCATGGTGGCTGAGGCCAGCCCCCCCGTGGACACCTTCCGACCCGGCTTCGATGTGGCCCTTCCATGTCTCCCTGAAGCCCACCCTTTGCAAGGGGGGGCTCCTGGCCAGCTGCGGCAGCACAGCCCCCACCCTGCAGAGACCTTGCTAGCCCTGGCAGAGGAGAGAGGTGGGTGGCGCACGGTGGGCACCAACTCCTCTGCCTGCCACTGGGATGGGCGCTGTGAGCAGGATCTTGCACCCAACCAGTAAGTGGACCTTTCCTCGGGGGCCTGGAGTGGGAGGGGAGGCGTCCAGAAGCCAGGGCAGAGGGTAGGATTGAGCTTCAAGACTGAGTTCCTGGCAAACGCAGGCCTCCTGCTGCAGCAGGAGAGCGTTCAGACAACCGGTCCACCAAGGTTGTGATGTGCAGTGCTGGGTGTCAGAGGCAGGGTCTGAAGCATTCCCTGGGGGGTAAGGGGGTCTTTAAGAAGATGGAACGTGACTCATTCCTACTCTGGTTCTTGCTCTCACTCCAATCCCTCCTTCCTTGCTGTACTGCTGACTGTTCACTTTACAAACCAATGTTGACCGTGAAACAGTACTGAGTGTTTGTATGCCAGACACCGAGGCTCAGCGAGGTTAGGCAACTTGTCTGAGGCCACACAGCTAGGACGAGCACAGGTAGGGTTTGAATCCAGTCTCATCTGACACCGAAACCCTCCCACTCTGAATTCCGTGCTTGGGGACGGTCTGTGATCAGCCCACTTAAATGGCTCCGAAGGCCCGTGGAGACCAGCACGTGGTCGGAAGTGGGAGCCGTCCCTTGGTCTACTTTGGAAGGTCAACCAGTTTCTGAAGGAAATAGGTTGTAGCAGGCTGTGGCCAGACTTGACGAACTTCGTGCCAGCGAGGGTGCCAGAATGCTATCTACGGAGCGTGGCAACCTGCCCGACGTGGAAAACTCATCCAGAAACTTCTCTCCTTGAGGCCACGCCTCAGACAAGAGAGGAGCTGACACCTGAGCATGCGCCAGGGCTCCCGGGAGCCCACAGCTTCTTGGGAGGGCCAGAGTTCAAGTTGAGTCCTTCTGAGGCTGTCCAGGGTTCCTGGGGCTCAGGCTTCCCTCTCTATCCCCAGGGGCAGGCTCAAGTTGGAGCCTGTCGCTCTGGTACCCTACCCCCACTCCCGTTCTTTGCTAGAACAACAACGGCTATTCCGGCTTCACGTTCCTCCCAGGAATCCTGCACGTGGCCTCTGCTTGGGGCTCCCGCAGCCACTGCTGGCCCCGACAGCAGCTCAGCCGGGAGGGCAGAGTTCTCCAGTCACCGTGCCCCCCGCCCCCTTTGTGGTTGTGGTGCCATCTTGCGCCGTCCATCGCGCTGATTTGGACTCGCCGTGACTCGGGGGACTGGGCAGAGCAGCCCCATGGGGTTTCTAGGCCATCAGTGTCAGCAGCAGACACAAGGTCTTTCTCCTCTCCAGTCCTTGGGTGGCTGCGAACCACCCACCTTCAAAGTCAGCAGCTAAGCCCTTAGGCCCTTCTCCTGCTTGTAGGAAGTCCTTGGACTGACTTTGGGGCCGCTGGGTGTCCTGGAGTCCATTCTGACTCTGAAGGACCCAGAGTAAAACTGCCCCCATTGAGTATTGTCAGCCGTGATCTTCATAGGAGCTGACCGGCAGATCTGGTCTCCTTCAGTCACTGGGTGGGTTCGAACTATTGGCTTTTTGATCCGCAGTGGGCTCATTGACTGACTTTAGTGATGGGTAAACGGAGTGGGTAATTGGTGAATCTGAAAGCTGTTTTATTCTGGACTTCTCTGAGAAGCTGACCATTGAGAACACTGCCTCTACACACACGCACGCACGCACGCACGCGCACGCACGCGCACACGCACACGACCCCATCGAGTCTAGACTTCAAGTTAGAATCTGCTCATTGGTGTGGGTGGCCAGGAGACGGGGTGGAGGGGGGCTTTTTACTGTATACCTTTTTATGCCTTGTGAATTCTGTACTGTGCGGATGAATGACCTGTTCATGAAAACGGATCGGTAACGAGTTAACTGGGTGGGGCCATATCCCAAAGCAGCCAAAGCCGCAGAAGCCCATTCCGCCTGGGTGGGAACCCACAGCCAGGCCCTGGAGCCAGCCAGGAGGGTTTGAAACAACCCCACTGCTCCCCAGGCTCTGCTCAGAAGTGATGGGGCTGGGCAGGGCTGGGAGAGGGGGAGGGGCGCGTGCTGGACAGAGAAGGCTCTCTCTGGACCTGGGCTTCCTAGTGGGGAGAATGCCTTTCTTGAAGGGTGTTTGAGAGGATGAGCAATGACTTATAGAAGGTGCCTGGCCCCCAGTCCAGGGCAGGCCCTGCCCAGAAGCCAGCTCCCTCCTCTCCCTTTCCCCTTTCTCACCAGTGCCAGCAGAGTGACTGGTGCCCCTGCAGGGGACTGTGAATTGCCTCTTTCTCAGGTCAGCCCTTGTTTCTTCAGGTCACCTTTGGGGATTAGCCCTGAGTTCCTGTTTATCTATCTATCTTTCTATCTATCTATCTATCTACCTATCTATCTATCTATCTATCTATCTATCTATCTATCTATCTATCTATCTATTTATCTATCTATCTATCTATCTATCTATCATCTATCATCTATCTATGTATCCTATACTGTCTTTCTGGCTCAGATAGCCACCTAGCTATCGGCTTGACACTTCAGGGAAACTGAGGCTCAAGCCACTCCAGAGACTGCAAACCCTGTCATCTGAAGGTAGCCTTGGCCAAAGAACCCTTTGACACTCAGACACCAACTGGAAGCTGCCCGGCAGGCAGGCACGTTTTTTTTACAAACATAAACTCAATGCACGTTTTGAGTCTCTCCGACAGTATCATTAGGCATGGGACCTAGGGTGCAGGAGACTTGAAAGAGCCAAGATGGAACTCCATTTATTTCCAAGTTGGGGGGCGGTCAGAAATGTTTTAATATTTAATATTAATAAGGCGGTCTTTATTACCAATAGCTTTTATAACTAATAGTTATAAAATCTAATTTTTGAAAAGTTTAATGGAGGAAAGAGTCAAAATGCCTAGGCCCCACGGACGTCCTGTCCCTGTCTGGACCCCAGCAGAGCCCTGGAGCCAGAGCTCAGACACTGGCCCACTCTCAGCACTGCCGCAGACAAGTGGCAGGACCACGGGACCCTGGGGCTTTATTTCGAGGCCACCCATAGGCACGAGTCTCCTCTGTGATGCCGCCATCACGCATGCGCTCACTCTCCACTCCCGCAGACCACTCACAGGCTCCTTCCCCAGGCATCCCCACTCCTAGAATTTATGCTGAGTATTTATCTTGAGTATATCTGTGGGTTAACCCGCATCCATGCTCCTGTGCTTCCGAAAGAATCCATCCCTTTACCACCCACTGAGCACCCATTTCCTGCTGCTCTCTGCTGGGCCCTGGAGATGCTGGGCAGAAGGAGGCCCAGCCCCTGCCTCCCAGAAGCTGAGGCTTGGAGGAGTGAGGGCGTGAATGGCCATGGCATACAGTAAGTAGAGCTGCCTTCGTCTCCGCGGCTGTCAAATGGGCTAACAGTGCCTCCCTCGGATCTCTTCCAGTTGCCTGAGAAAGAAGTGAGGAAATGATGCAAAGCATTGAGACTAGTGCTTGGAGCAAAGTCTGTGATCAAAGCAGGTCATTCCCAGGCCGTGGACAGGAGGGCTAGGGGCACGGCAGAAGGATTAAGCAGGACGGGTTTTCCAGGGGCGGTTATGTGTGAGTGTGGACATTAAGGCCAGGAAAGGCATTCTGGCAGAGAGAAAGGAGTGTGTACAGGCACAGAGGAGAGGGTGTGGGGCTTAAGGAGGGCTAGGGGACACTGTCTATTCAGCAGGTCTTGGTGCTTGGAATGCCCTGAAGCCTTAGCCCTTGGGGTTTTCTGTCCGGAGAGCCCTGGTGGCTGTGGTTAAGAGCTTGGCTGCTAAAAAAAAAAACCCTGGCAGCTTGAACAATCCCCCCACCCCCAACCCTGGTGGTCTTCGGGAGAGAACAGTGCCGTGTCCTTCCAGGAAGATGGGGAGCCTTGGAGACCCTGCAGGCAGCTCCTCTGTCCTGCAGGACCACAGCGCGTCTGAATTGATTGGAGCTTCATCGGGGATGGAGGGGGCAGGGCTGTCGCTGGTGGGGTGGTGCTGTGGCTGGTAGTGAACTAGTTGACTGGGGTTACCTTGCAGCTTCTTCTGGGTGCCCCTCATCCTGATGGATACACTGAGCTGGGGAGCCCTAAGCAGAAGCTCCGCGGTGGTGGAACTGTCTCAGGATGAGGGAGCTGGCACACTTCAGGGTTGGCCCCAGCTCTGTCCTCATCCTTTCTGCGACTCTGAGCCAGTCCTTGGCTCTCTGGGATTCAGTCTCCGTATCGGGCCAATGGAGCTTGGCCCAGAGGCTGCCTAAATCCTGGCTGTTCTTCTTGAAGGTTCTGGCTCAGAGCCAGGTAGGCTCTAGCTAGTGGGGTCCTGGGACCTTCTGAGCCCTACCCATCAACCCCACTCTGAGGGCCAGTGAAGACCAGGGATCCTGCGTCTCTTCATCCCGACTGGGCAGCGGGCGCTAGGTCCTCCAGGGAGGGGACACTCTGAGGAGGCGAGCCCTCCTGTCCCTCCCCACACAGACACACAGAGCCTGAGTGTGGCCCAGCAGGGGAGGGAGGAGCAGGAGGAACAGAGGAAGCCTGTGCTGAGCGAGGGGGGTGCCTC